CATTAACCTGCTGCTCTCACAGCCTCCACTGTCCTGGTTTCAGTCTTTCTAGCAGATGTTGATTTTCACTCCCATTCAGACACCAGAGCATCAGTGAGGTCCAGAACTGGTGTTAGTAATCAGGTCTGGGCCCATATTCACAAAGCATTTTATCTTACCACTAAGAGTTCTCCTAAGTCACGCTAAAAAGTTTTTCTCTAATCATTTTTTTCTGAGTCCTCTTCACAAAGCTGCTGAGACCAACTTTTAGTAAGGAGAAGCGAAAACTAAGAGTGCGACTCCGTTGCTATGGCTGATGACCACAGCCTGCTGTAGCTGTACCTATTGTAATGTAGCTGTGGTCCCGGCTGTGGGTTGAGGTGTGAGAAGGTTTCCCCTGTTCCCCCACCAGGTGACATCCAGCTGGAATATGATCCTTTCAATCAGCTGATCAGGTCACTCTCCATTCAGATCCATGACTCGTGCGTAGATCCTGGACACTGTACAACAATGTCTACAGCTGTAGATACAGCATCCAATACAGCCTGTGTGTTCAAACACCTCCTCGTCTTGTTGTGGTGCAATCATCTTTACGTGTTCCATCTCTCTCACAGTGTGTAGACCATGAAGCTGCTTTACTTCTCTGTAGTTGTTGAACATCTAAAGGAAATCGTATGAATTGTCCTATGATGTCAGGTCAGACATCAGACATCTTTCTCTATTGTTTGGGGGAATTATCGACTTTTCTCTGTTGCCAAGTAACACAGCGTTGCTAAACACTTAATTTCCGCACTGATCGGGTTGTTTCAGTTGGTAGATGTTATTTAATCCTTCACAAATCCACAAAGATCATTATTTCCTCCTAATTGAGTCGTATCTTTTAAGTAATTCAGCATCTTTTAAGGTTTCCAGAACACTGTGACATGGAATAACAGCGGCCCTTTAAGATTCTCTTCACTACTTCTAACCTCTCCCAGATTTAGGTGCTACTTTTAGCGCTAAGTGGCTTTGTGAATTACTTTTTCAGTTTTTTACGACGAGATGTAAGATGCTTTGTATTTTGTGTATATGGTTTTGGTTTGTGTGTGTGGAGCTTTGACAAACAGGGCCCTAGTTTCAGGAACTTGTTTTTGCAATAGTGAAAAACTGTGTCAAAAAATAATTGGTGTGTCAGTCCTAAAATTAGGACTGACACACCAAATATTTTTAAGAGTTTCAGCTAAATCTGCAAGTTGGGAGCTACTTTTAGCCTTAAGATGCTTTGTGAATACGGGCCCTGGTTCACAGTCAGTGTTCCAGTTCATTCCAGAAGTGTTGTATGAGGTTCTGTCAAGTTCTCCAACACCAAACTGGGAAAACCATTTCTTTGTGGAGCTGTTTTGTGGACGGGGGGCACTGACATGTTGAAATCAGTCAGTTGCCTTCATTGGATCCCAAACCAGGAAAAACAGACCCTGGATCAAAATTATATAGACAGCAGTGTCTGCATGTTTTTGGCCATAAAATGTATATTAATAATAAGAAAATGGAGAAAGTGTTGGAAGTGAGTTGTTCTTATTATCAGAACTCAGAGGCTCTGAATGGAAAATAAAAAATAAAGTAAAAATCTAAAGTTCAGTGTCAGAGCTCCTAAAAATACTTGGTGTTTATTTCAGTTGTAAAATCCCCAATTTCCATCTAACTGGCAACATAAAGGTCTCAAAAAGTCCAACTCTGTGTAGACACCCTGCAACCTACACATCCAAAAAAACCCTAAACGTCCTCATTGTTATCTGTTCTTCTGGCAAAGTACATTTTTAATTTCTTTTTTTGCTCGCTCTCTCCTACGTTTTTCTGATTCCTCCACTTTCTGACAGCAGAGGCCTTTCTTTTTCTGGAGGATCTTGTAGGAGTAGAGGACTTGAATTCTGACTCCTCACCACCTGTAGCCATGTTGCTCAGTCTAAAAATACAGTGTGGCTTTGTTCTGGAAGCCTGAAACTTGGCACAGCAGCTCGTACTGCAGCGCGGGCGATGCCCAGGGTTCAGCACAGGGGAATTCACAAAATGTACATCGACTCTAACCAGGAGAGGGTTTCGTGGTTGGTGCGCGAGTCTCTGAGGGGGTTTGGATTCTGGCAGGGCCGGGCCGTCCTCCTGGTTGCTCCGGTTAAACAGACGCAGCAGAGACGAGGGGAGTTTGTGGAGTTTATCTCTTCACATTATCAACACTCAAAGTTTTCCTTCTGTGTTTGAGTATAAAGTTAGAGTCGTTACTTTCCTCCAGAGTTCTGGTTAGTTTAAAAGTTCTGAACAAAAGAAGTCTAAAACACTGATGTTCCCACTCATATCCACATCCTCACATCTCACTTATACGCGACACTTCATGTCACAGCTGTGTAAACTTTAATAACGTCCTATAAGGTTTCAGAGAAAGAACTCGTTACAGATTAATGAAAACATGACAAGTCAGTACACAGCAGGTCAACAAGAGGAAAGTATATAATTCAACGCACATAAAGAGCAAAGTTTACAGTAATAAATTCATGATACATATTGTCTTAGATTTAAATTTAACAGTTATTTGAAGGACAGTCCTCTGGAAATCAACAACTGTGCCCCCCCCCCTCAAAAAAAAAAAAAAATCATTAAACCAATATTACGTGTTTTTTCTTTCTTTGAAGAAATGAGAAAATAAAGCTCCACCTTGTTCTGCACTCTGCAGTACATACATGAATGTGGACAGATAGACGGTTGTCTGATGTTCTTATACCAGAGCAGAACATGAGAAAACATCATACAATCAACCCTTCTGTCTAACAGTGTGTCCACATTACGCTTCTGTTTCACTCCGTCCAGACAGAAACTTCCTTTTCTCTCCTTTCATGACGGAGCTTTTCCAAGCGGCTTCCAGAGAGTGTAAATTTTGAAACTCCACTCTGGCGTTTCAGTGTGAACGGGGTCAGTGCAGCTTTTTACCAAACAATGACCTCAGCTGCTCACTGAAAGTTAAGAAGACAACCTTTGATTTAAAGTGTTGTTATATCTGAACACAGTGGAGCTCTGCTCATTAACCTGATTTATGTTGATGACTTTGTGATTTAAAAAAAAAAAAAGGATTTTATCATCAGAAGATTAAAATACAAAAACAGAGAAATATGTAAACTAGAAGCACTCAGACTCAGACCGCCACAAAGGTTCAACCGACATACACCAGACTGCACAGAAAAAAAATTAAATTCGTAGTCCATGATCCTGATCTGCACCAAAATTTAGTGGGTTCTTCCCTGGTCCACAACCCATCCCTGCGACAAGTTCAGTGCAAATCTTTTCGGGACTTTTTGTGTAATCCTACTGATGAATAAACTCGCCCATGAAACAATGATTTTATCATCTGTCTGCAGTGTTTGTTTTCCGAGAGATTTAGCTCTTTTCATGTCGGGCATGTGTTTCACTCTGGACAAAGGTCCCTACAAAAACCATCAGGAAACTCTAACGTAGATGCAGATCGTCAGACTGCTTCCATCAGACGCAGTCTTCAGCCTTCATCGACTTCATATTGAATAACCAAGACACTCCTAATTTAACACCAAGCTCTCGGATAGAGCACAGAGCAGAGCACCAAACATCCGAACGCCACAGAGCGAAACATCATGTCAACAGTCAGATCTCGGATTATCCACAGTCCGAAAACTGAGTGTGTTTTGATATTAGATGTCACTTTAACTCCTGAGAGCTGGCTGTCAAACAGGTGGTTAAAGTCCTGTCGTGCTGCGTTCACGTCATGTCACACGTTGTTTTAATACGAGCCTCTGACTGTTGTAAATGTTCACATCAACCTCCTGCTGCTTAACTGGTGTCGACTTTCACTGACGGTCTTCACATGTTCCAGCTCTTGTTTTTAAGTCATGAAGCTCTTTGTTTCTTCAGTCATCTGACAGACAGGAGGTTGAAAACAGTTCTTATGTTACTGACGGGTTTAAATTTGTCTCCTGAGGTTGCCTCCCGTCCTCCTTCCTCTCTCTACACCTCCACATCTCTCATTTTTCTATCTCTCGTTTGGGTGTTGTGACCTTTGACCTCCTCTCTGCTGGTTCCTGTCAAACTGGATGGTTAGAAAGTGAAGCCTTTTGTTCTATCAGCTTCACCTCCGCATGTTTGTGTGTGTGTTGTGTGTTTGTGTAAATGGATTTTCAGTCATTTCTCTGGTCTTTGTCTCCCCCTGCCTGTGTCTCTGCTGCTCTGCTGAAGTCCACACTCTGAATGATGAGAGGGTGATAATGAGTGTGTCTTCCTCTCTCGGTCTGCCTCCCCTGTGTTGGGAAGTGATGGGATTGTTTTCAGACCTCAGACCTGCTTGTTGTTGGAGGGAAGGATGGATGGGGGATGTCAGTATGTTCTGAATAGCACTGTAGACCAGTTCTGGGGCAGACCAGTTCTCTTTACTGTCCTCAGGTAGAAAAGGAACGAACCATATCAAAGAGAAGGAACCATATGAACGGTGAAGGGTTAACTGATCTGGATCCTGGGTGGACTTGAATTATTCTGAACAACGGACTGTTTTAGTATTTTTGCTCCTGTAATCCCGTCTGTCTTTAGATCTTCATTTCACTGTCTTTCTCTAACTTTGCCTCCTTCTTCTTTTCAATCTCACTCAATTAATTTACAAGGTTGTTAAGATTATTGTTGTCTGTACAGTGACAAAGCAGTTACACAACAAGGATCACTGGAGTTAAAAACCCCTTCGACCCTCAATCAAACTCACAAACTTTTATTTTGAATTTTGCAGAGGAGCTCAAATAGACACCAGATCTGTCAGTTGAGACTTTGACATTAGAAACCTTACATTATGTTTATATTTAATGTCTACAAGTGTGACATCTAGAATATTTACACAAAGCGGTCTTGTGTCTTAAGTCGTGGATATGAATATTTCACAAATATCTCCAGTTTCAGAAAGGGAACTTAATGTGGTTTGTGGTTTTTTGTGACACCCAGTTCTCGTTCCTGTGGAGCTTGAATGTTTCTGTCTCTCTCTCCAGGACCCGTTAGATCCAGGTCGCTGTGTGATGGTGATCCGGTCTCTGGTTCCTGGCGGCTCAGCAGAACATCACGGGGGTCTCCTTCCTGGAGACCAGCTGGTTTCTGTTAACCAGACCCAGCTGGACCTGCTCACCCTGGCGCAGTCTGTGGAGGTCTTGAAGTCTGCCCCACCTGGCACAGTCCGCCTTGGTATCCGGAGGCCTCTCGTGGTGAGTCTAGACCTCCCAGTTTTAGGTCCAGGTCTTCTAAATGTATTTGTAAACCTTCTGTAGATGCTCTACCTTCTAGTTTTAGGTCTAGATCACACTTTTAGTTCAAGTCCAAACCTTCTACATCTTGGTCCAGACCTTCCAGCTGTTGGTCCAGACCAGCTAGTTTTAGGTCCAGACCTTCTTATTTTAATAGCGGACCTGACCGTTTGGTTTTCAGGGTCCTGACCTTCTAGGTTTAGGTCCATATATTCTAGTTTTACATCTTGACCATCTAATCTTAGGTGCTGACCTCATACTTTTAGGTCCAAAATTTCTTGTAGTAAGTCCAAAGCCTACTTTTAGGTCCAGACATGGACCAGCTCTACCTTGAGACCATGTGGTCCAAACTGTCTGCCTGTAGTTCAGGGACGGGGACCACATGCCATAGAGGACTAACAGTCTGCAGCCTCCATCACCAAATTTCTTGTAGTAGAGGGGAGGAACTCTGCATTTGTTGAAACAAGTCCTGCAGACTCCTAGTCCTTCAGGACTCAGGTCTCCTCGGTCTCTTCTCGTTGTGTGTCGAGTTCTTCCTGGTTGTTGGTTGTGAATGAACCTGAGCAGCATCAGTGTCTGTTTGAACGTCCAGCTCCATGTGTTGATTTCACGCTGATCTTCTTCCTGTTTTTGCAGGTTGACGGACCAGAGAGGAGGAGGGGGGACAGCAGCCACACTCAGCTGCCAGTACCAAAGGTAACACACACACACACACACACACACACACACACACACACCTTCAGACTCTCACATATTGTAAACTATATGAACTGGAGTTATTCAGAGCTTTCACCTGCATCTCACAGTCTTCATCATGGACTGGAAGTGGCTCAGGTTTTGTCAGGGGAGTTTTTCCTTCGTCTGAATTGAGGGTCTGAGGATAGAGACCATCTTTAAACAGAGACCTGTCTCTCTCTCTCTCTCTCTCTCTCTCTCTTTGTGTGTGTGTTAATCAAGTCAATCCACTCTAATTGGACTGTTAAGATTTTCTCTCTCTGTCACATTACTCACTGCCTCCCTCTCTGACTTTGTGCTCCTCCGTCCTTCCTCTTTCTTAAATCTCTCATCTCTCTCTCTTTATCTCCTCTCTTAACTCATTTCTCTGCAGTTTGCTTTATTGGTCTGGATATCAGACGAGCGGTGCTGCCACAGAAAAATAAATGGAGAGATAAATAAATGTAAATAAATATGTAGAGCATGACAGGACTGAAGAGGAACAGATGCAGACTGGATTTATCTGTGAGGAACCTCCAACAGGTTCAGTGTCAGTTTACACTGCTGTAAAATAATTGGATACAAAAACTGATGGAAGACGAACACTGTGTGACGGATGCAACATGTGGTCTTTGTAATATTTATTTCCCCAACTGATATATACACAGAACACATACAGTTAACACCTCTCTGAACCTTCCTGAAGGAGGATTCATTATAGGACTGTTGATGAGACAGCTGTTCCTAATGAACACGTAACTGACGCTGTGTCCGAAATCACTCACTACTACTTCAGACAGCACTACAAAATGGCTAACTCCCTATAAAGTGCACTATATAGGGAGTTTTGTAGTATAGTGCATTTTGTAGTGCTGTCCGAATGTATAGTGAGAATCATTATGCCCTTTTATAGTAGACTCATAGTATCCCATAATGAATCATGAAAAGTAGTTTACCAGCGATGGTCACTAACCAAGCAATATATACCATAATGCATTGCGCTCGCACTGAAAACAGAGCAGAGAAAATTACCCATGTAGTGTCCGAAAGTGTTTTTTTTTTTTTTTTACAGATGAGCTCAATAAATGGTCCTCTAAATAGAATTCCCTGGAGAGTGAGTGAGTGAGTGAGTGAGTGAGTGAGTGAGTGAGTGAGTGAGTGAGTGAGTGAGTGAGTGTATGACCTGTTGTTGCTTTAAGTTGTCACATGACCTCTGGATTTCTTTACTACGGTGGCCCTGAGAGCTCAACACACTGGAGCTTAAGAAAACACATGCAAACAGACAAAACACAAACAAATTCAGAAAACCTCTTCATCAGTTTGTTTTGTCTGTTTGCATGTGTTTTCTTAAGCTGCAGTGTGTTGAGCTCTCAGGGCCACAGTACTTGAGTCAGTCAGTGTAGAAACAGTGTGTGTGGAGGTTGACAGGGCACTATGTTGGTTGTAAGACGATGCTGGATTTTTGAGGATGATATATATGATGATCAGATGATGTGTCCGTCAACATAAGATAGTTTTTTTATGCCTCTGCACCAATACTCAGAGGCGTGATGTCGTCAGGCTGTCAGGAATGAGGGAACTTCTTAACATTTGCCACAAACATTCACTTGGACTCAAGGATGAACTGATTAGAATCTGGTGGTCAAAGGTCAAGGTCAGTGTGACCTCATGAATTGATACGCTAATTATGACATGGTTTAACATAAATGTCTAACAGGATAAAATGATGAAGGTCAATTCAAAAGATTATTTTTTGTTTGATAGTGAAGAGACAGGAAGGAAACTGAGGATGTTGTGAACCACCAGGCCAACAGGACGCCCCCTCTCAGTGGGATATTTCACTGTGTAAAACTAAACTTGTTATTGGCCAATATATATAGACTGATATATATCTGTGACCAGCTAAAACCAGCTAATAATATCTGCTTTGTCAATACCCTTCGAGTTTTCCTCAGTTACTGACACTGACTCTTCTTTCAGAAGCTTCCACTTTCACTCAGAGAAGGAAATATAGTGGTGAAATTGGCTGATGCATCTTTTTTCCAAGGCTTTCACTGTGAAGAAGCTTCAGACATGAAGTGCATGCTCTAATAGTAAACTTTGTTGATTTTCTTAAATCTATCAGTAGTTGCACAGTGCATTGAAAAAAGGTGTGGAATATTTTGGCGTGGCAAAAACAAATCTAAATGATGAGTGTGTGTAGGCGGAAAAGGGGCGTGGCTTACAGTATAGAGATAGTGTTACGTGTTGGATCAGTGAATTCAGTGAAAAACTTCTGTGTCATCATTCAGGATATTTTAGCCAGAGCATGATGTGCTCTGTAAATGGCCGTCGTTGTGGTGCTTCAGTTCGTCTTCGAGCTGAGCTGCTCATGAAATCTGTTGAGTGGTTTCTGTGAAATCCTGCGAACAGTCAGACAAAAGGGACTGAACACACAGTCTTCTATGGTGGTGATAAATCAGTGTTTGTTCTGCAGTTGGGACTGCGGGTCACAGCATCCACACTTCTCAGGAAGCCATGTTTTCTCTTCCTGCTGCTGAAGCTTTCTTTTTTCTTTAATCTTTCATTTTTCTCCTTTCCTTCATCTCTTCTCTGTCGTTCACCTCCTTCCTTCCTTCCTTCCCTCCCCTCGATCATCTCTCCTTCTCCTCTCTCTTCTGTCTTTTCCTCTCCTCTTTCATCTTCTTCTCTCCTCTCGTTCACCTTCTTTCACCCTCTCTTTTTCTCTCCCTCTCCCTCCTCTCTGTCTCTGAAGCTGCTGACTCAGCTTTATGGCTGGATGGTATAAAGTGCTCTATCAGCTCAACCAGCAGCATCTCTCTCTTAAGTGAGTCGGGGGGTGGAGAGGGGTTGGGGGGGTACTCTGAGGACACTCTGGTCCTCCAGCATCAGTACACTCAGTACTGCAGTACTACTCACAGTAAATACTGCAGTACCGAAGAGTTGAGCTACAGGGACAGAACTCGTCTCCTGCTTTTCTCATTAATTAAACTGTTTAATTTGTTAAACGAAAACCTCTCGGACGGAGAGTCCGACCGTTTAATTCTTCTTCACTTCATGTGGAAATATTTACAAATATGGTTCCGTTTAATTTTTTGCATTTGTGTGCAAGATTTTATTTGATACCATGAAACCTGTTTTCTTAAAAATATTTTCCAAAAATCCTTCAGACGTTTGTGTCTGGAAATAAATGGCTCCTAGATTCATTGTTAGTTTCATCAAACACATCTGTATTTACACTGACTCTGTGAATGTCTCAGTAAATAATAGTTGAAGGCAGTTTTTGGTGCTTTCTGTTTTTATCTAAAGTATTGTTCAGACTCTGAGATAATAACTTCTACACTCATTATCTTGTATAATACCCGACAACTTGTGCAGTGATTATAACACAGGAGCTAAGAACCGCCTGATGTAAAGAGGATGGTTTTATCCCACTTATGACTTGGCCACTTGCCAATGAAATACCATAAATAATCAACATATAAATGTCAGGCGTTAATTTACTCATAACTAATTTTGATCTGGCTTTGATATTTTAAACTTCATAAAATAACAAACGGGTGATGAAGGAAAAGTAGAGAAACATAATGAATACAGATGACATCTGTATTTAGATCTATGGGACAGACGTCAGTAAACACTGTGATATGTAAGAAACCTGGCACCTGATCTCAGTCCAGATGAACTATGGGAGATTTTGGAGTGTTAGACAGCGCTCTCCACCACTGTCATCAAAACACCACATGAGGGAATATGTTTATGAAGAATGGAGTTCATCCTCCAGCAGAGTTCAGAGACTTGGAGCAGTGAAGCTGTTCTGGAGACACGAGGTGGAACAACACCTGACTAAGACACTCTAATGTTGGTGTCTCCTTTAATTTGTCACCGTCTGTTTGATAACGAAACCATGAAACCTATATCTTGTGTACGCAAGATAACAGCTTGTGTGCGGAGTTAATAAAACTTGTGTGCACAAGATTATGAACCAGATGAAGATTAAAAATATGGATGTATCATCTTATTGAACGTCAGGGGCTCCATACTCTGACGGTGTATTAGTGTCACAATGAGGAAAAAAAAGAAATCTGAAATTTTGAGAAAAAATTTTGATAATTAAAAATGTAAAAACCATCATCCAAAGAGCTCCTTGTCCTCAGTGTCTTCAGTTGTGGTTGTCATGACTGCAGTTTGACCAGCTCACCTGTGCACTCTACTGTACTCTGCCGAGTTGTGCTGTGTTACTTTCTGTCCTGCTGCTGTATCTGCTCTGGCCGTCCTCTGCGCCGCTGCTTTATATCCTGTTTTATATGCAGCCCATTTGGCTGAAGAGGGTTTTTCACAGCCCACAGGTCTCTGATGGGTTTCCATAAAGACAGCCGGGTCGGCGCTGTCACTTCACCGCCGGATCGTTCTCTGTCACGCCAGCCCGCTGACCAGAGAGAGACCCCCGTTACACATCCACACCTCGTTAACTTTTAGAGGTCATATGTAGAAGAACGAGCTGCTGCTGTAGTTACAGGCTGTCATCACATTATTCTGATCCTCTCTGTGCTGTGAGTTCAAACAGAGTCAAACATGAATACAGGAGGGAAAACAACAAACTGTACAGTCTGCAAACAGCACTGAGGTACGACTGTAACCACCACAACACAATTATACTGCCACGTCTCTCCTTTACTCTGGCTTCATGTCAGTAATCTGATTTTTACTCCTTTCATTTCTGGTTTGTTGAGAGGCTCGTTTAGTTTCACAAAGACAGAAAGTGAAACATGGGTCAACTGTGTGCTTGTATCTAAAATGTATCATCAGATAATCCATAATTCATTTGTAATTTAAAAACACGTACGTAAATCTGTTGTTTCATTTTAAAACCAAAACAGAAAAAACGTTTTTGGTGTCAGACTCAAAAAAATGAAAAACCAATCAAAATGGTCTTTCGTCATTATTTTGTTTGGAACCGAAAACCGATTCACACAGTTTTATTTGATTTTTAATTCTAAACCAAGAACGAAATCACGTGGTCGGTTCGCCAGAAAACCAAATTCAAACAATGGTCCAATTTTGGTTTTTGCAAATTCATTTTTTCATTTCTCATTTCTCATTTGGCAGACAGTAGATGAGACAGGAGGAGGAAGTGAAGTGTAAAAAAGTCAAAATATCATCTAAGAGGACATAAAAGTGAAACATCAAGCAAACACAGGATCTATCACAGGGTAACTGTAAGCTGAGGTTTTAGAGTTAGAGATTTAAGAAATAAACCATAATCACTTCTCTGCTGCTCTCCTCGGTCTGCCTCGTGTCGGCAGCAGACTACGTCCTCCAGCTGAGGTGTTCCCAGGCCAGATGGGATATATAATCCCTCCTGTGTGTTCTGGTTCTGTCCCTCCTCCCAGTCCTCCAGAGAACCTCTAGAGGCAGGTGTCCAGGCGGTATCCATAGATGCCTGGACCACCTCACATGATCTGACCACCTTGGAGATACCTGAGCTCTTCACCATGTCTCTAGAGTTGAGCCCAGACTACAAAATATTTCCTGTGTGGGTAGTTTCAGTCATCCAGGCTGCAGGACACCAGCAAGATATAAGTCAGAGGCAGCTGGTTTGATGTGTGTTTCTACACGTCGCTGCTGTCGTGAAGGTGAGGTGAAGGTCCGGTCTCACCTGGCTAACTGTGTTAACATAACCTAATCTGTAAGAAGGTGATTGGTAGCACTAGTGCTATCTCAACTCCCCCTCCACCAGTCACATGACCCTGGTCTTGTCTGACATAGTAGTCCCTCAGGGTCTCCTGATGCTGCTGTTTTGGCGCTTCTTCTCTGGAGCTCTTATTTTGACAGGCATCTTAAGATGCACAAAGCAGGAAGAGGCGGAGTTAGGTGAACTTTTAACTTGTTCAATTTAGTTTTTTTTTATTACTAAAAATATGTTCAAACTGTTGATGGATGACGATTTTAAGGATTTGTAAGCTGACAGAAAATGAACCAGCAACTGTTTTAGAGGCCTCTCATTATTTCAGCTTTTAATAATAATAATAATAATAATAAAAATAATGAAACCTCAAGTCATTCAGACTTTTCTGCTTTTCATCATTGGGATTTAACTGTTGGTTGAACAGAACAAATCATTCCTCAGACTCTGGGTACTTAAACTTTTTCATTTTCTCACATTTTCTAAATGAATGCATGAACATGATCATTTTTATCCAGATATAAAGAACGTGTTGATACTGGGTTAATACCAGGTGGAAATGGATCTAAACCGTGACCAGGCACAAAAAATATTGACCTGGACCTTAGATTGCACCTCTGCAGTAAAGGAAAAACATCCAAATCATAAGTTTGATCCGTGTAACAAAGATCATGATGGAAGTCAGAATCCTTCATGCAGTCAGTTCAGACTCTCTGCAGCCTCCTGAGACGCTGCAGAAAGACTCGTCATCTCAACTGTCCTCATCGTCTAATGGCACAGATATTAAATGACAACGTCTTTAAATCTTATGAATATGAGGCCAGGCAGTCACGGCCAATACACATCAGTCTGCGGAACATCCTGTTAGCGTTATGAGCTCTCTGCTGCTGCTGCCGTCTGCTCCTCACCTCCATTATATGGCCGAGATGGGCCGGCTTCCCAGGCCCAAATTAAAAGAAGAGGAACAGAGTCCTTGAAGATGAGGCTTCGTCGATGGAAATTAGCCTAAGTGTTGTCATTAATATTTCCCGGCGTGGGCTAATGTCTGCATCATAATGTTAAGAACAGGATACCCCCTCAGTATCTGCTGAGGGAGGCTCTTTGGGGAGTTGGAGAAAACCATTATGTGTTCAGAGATAACGGCTAATTTTCAAAGTAAGTCAAGTTTTAGATTTAGTGCGAGCTGCAGTTTTTCAGTTCAGACGAGCTGAAGACGAACGGATCAAAGTCTCTGGATCCTGCAGTTTCACTGAGTTACCTGTCGCACAGGTTAGAGCTGTCCAAGAAATATAGAGAGCAAGATCCACTGGACTGATGAAGTTGGATTAGTGTGTTTTTATTTAATCTTTTTGACTTTTCCCCCCCAAAGCTCTCAAAGTGAAGAAGAAAGCCTTTTTTGACATGGCATAATGAACATGTTGAAGCTGTTTGATCCATTAATACCAGACAGTCAGGTGACAGCAGGTTAATCTCTGCTCAGTGCTCACACTGACTGTTTCAAGTAGAGTCCAACTAATAAATGTCACCAGGCTAAAATATCAGTTGATATTAGCTCATAACTCATAGACCATTTGTATGTATTGATCGGTGTTGGCTGATCAGTACCAGGAAATATTAGTAGCAAAGAAACAGTTTGTTTGTTGTTATTGATCTCGTCCATCAGAGGGCGCTGTAAGACACAACATAGCCACTGTTCTTTAAGAGGCACATCAGAAATAATAAGCTTTTAATAATAACAAGCTTTATTTATATAGCACCTTTCAAAACACAGTGACAAAGTGCTTTACAAGACAAGATAACATTGAGGACAAACAATAAAAATAAATGATTAAAAAAACAGTTTAAAGGTTTTACAACATTAAGGAGGAGATAAAAGAGAAAAGTGTGACAATGAGGTTCAGTAAAAATGAGATAAAACTGTATAAAATGATAAAATGATTTGATGAAATAAGCAGGAGAATAATAAAAGATAAGAAGTTTGAAGTAGATTCAGACCCTCAGCCCTGAGAAAGTACACCTATAAAAATGTGTCTTTAAGAGGGATTTCAAAGAGGCTAAAGAGCTCACCAGTCTGATCTCCTCAGGGAGGTTGGTCCAGAGAGCGGGGGCCTGAACAGAGAAGACTCAGTCACCCTTAGTCTTCAGCCGATATAGAATAAAATGTTCACGTTATGTGTGTGTTTAAAAAATGAGCATTGGCTGATAAAGTGTCATTGATCACAGATGAATAAGTAAAATCACAAAGTAGAAAAACTTTCAAATTAAGCAATCCTCATTTCTAATAAAAAAAAAAGAAAGAAAAAGAGATTTAAAATAAGAATATGTTCAAGTTTCACATACAGAACATAATAAAAGATAAAATGCAAAAAAATATTTCTAACGATTTTTTCTTTAGTTTTCTGAACAAATGAATAGAAGGAGTTTATTTTGACAGTCATGGGGAACAAGTTGCCTTTTCTCATGAGGAAGAAAATCTGAAACAGTTTTCAAAACGTCAAATTCTACAGATACTTTCTTCTAAAAAGACAAATATTTTTAATCCTGTAAAACTTTATTCATATCTTCAGTCGAGTCAAAGTCAAACAAAAGAGAATAAGTGAACATGGTCATCAGGAAGATAGGAATACTCTGTACCATTAGTGTGAACTTTATTGTTGTGACCTCCGTCGTCTCACTCTTACTCGTTACTCACTCGTTAATGCTGTTGTACCGTTTTTTGTGTGTCTCAGGGTTTCGGTGACGGCTCCATCCTGCCTGAAGACCTTCAACACAAAGAAGACGAGGAGGAGGAGGAGGAGGAGGAGGAGGAGCCGGAGCTGATACTGGATGGAGGTCTGCCACGCTACACCACCTTCTCTCTGACCTCTGACCTCCTGCCTGTAGAGGAGGGCAGGGAGATGGCTGTGGACGAGGAGGAGGAGGAGGAGGAGAAGGTGAAGATAGAGGAGAGAGAAGAGGAGAGAAAGGGCTCTCTCCCCAGGAAACCTCCTCCCTCGTGGGAGGAGTGGAAGCTCGCCTCCTCCAGCCGGGGAGGACCAGAGGAGGTGAGAGTTCAAGGCTCAGTGAGGAGACAGTGGAGGAAGATTGGTGTGATCCAACTCTGTCATGTCAGGTCATACAGCGTAGTTTATAATGTTGTACGTTTACAGAAGCAGTTACCCTGACTGTGCAGAGTCTCACATTTCATCATGATCATGTAGTTTTTCACCTTCCTAAAGAAAATATCTGATTTGATTATAATAATAGAGAATATGTTGCTCAAGAACCGTGATCTCAGTTCTGATTAAAACAAACCATGATTCACATTTCACCTGTAACTGTGCAGCTTCATCTAGAACCTGTTAAATCAGGATTCACTAACCAACAAAAGGCTTCCAGTATCTCAGAGGCTTTTACTGTGAAACATCTGCAGGAAGTGATGAAATGACGTCACCTGGTCAGCGATTGAGTGTGAGAGGCTGCAAGAGCTCAAAATGGCTTAAAGATGAATGAGACACTTACATATCATGACATATCATGTAAAACATGTTTGATATAATTGTGGGTTTGGGACCTCTGAATTTATAGTATTTATTCCTTCTCTTCACTTCCTGTTTCTAAACAAAATAATAATGTTGGATCAGATCTGATGAACGCAGATTTTGAATTTATCACCCTGTCATCGCAGGACAGATAACTACACACAGTTCTGGCTCTGACTCACCAGTGATCTCTGTGTTTATACTGTCACCTACTGTCGTTAGCGTTAGCTCCTCTCCTGCTTGTTTGTTAACCTTTATTCTTCTATCTTATTATTTCTTCTGTTTTAAGGCCGTTGTTCACTGTTATTTACGCTTCCGCTCCGTTAACCTTGGTAACCCCGTGTTTAATATCATAACGCTATGAACTTTGTAATTCCTTCCGGCGAAGTCTACAGAAATGTGGACTTATGGAAAGTGTGCATAAAGGACTCAGAATGTCTGTTAGAGAGCCCTCATGCCCTCGATGGTGTGACAGTGGGACAGAATTTAAACCTTCAGGGACTTACTGTGAGTCTGTGAGGGGGGACATTGGGATTGGGGCAGTGAATGAGAACAGTGTGTTATTGTGTTAATGCTGAATTCATCATGTCAGACATCATAGTGCAGATGTTTTTACATGTTCTTCATCTGAGACCTGACAACATCTATAATCATCCTTTGGCTTTTTAGCACATTTTGTTGGAAGTGGAAATGTTCAGTTCTTGAGTAGTGTCAGTAAGTGTCATTGTGTTTACTATTGGTATTTGTGATTTTTAGTCACTGTTTGACTGATTTCTCCTTTCAGAGCTGGAGAAGAGAGAAGCAGGAGGAGCTGCAGAGACCAGACCTGCAGAGACCAGACCTGCAGGAACCAGACCTGCAGGGACCAGACCTGCAGGGACCAGACCTGCAGGGACCAGACCTGCAGGGACCAGACCATGAGGGCGTCGTGTCTGTAGGAAACATGATCCTGGGTGAGAGAGAGAATCTGAATCCTCATCATCACTGTGTGAAATAAATCACTTCCCACTGAGAGATGAGGAGAGGGAGGAGCTGGATGAAGGTGATAATGTCGATACATTATGAGACATGTATCGCTGCATCTGGTTAATAACAATTTATTAATAACAAAAACCAACAACAGAGTTTAAATAGAGTTAAATAGAGTGGGCTTTTACATGCAAAGACAGAACCATCACTTGAGTTGATTTATTGATTCACACATTATCTGTGGTAAATATTGCAAACACAAGGTCTGCCTACTTAGCTGGCCCCCGAGTTTTCACCCGTATACCATGGCCTTCCTCAATGACCCAAGTCCTGTGCTTAGGTCACCAGTTCAGTTAACGGAATGAAGCTCTGGTGTAAGCTTCAGTAACAAAGTCTCTCATTTTACAAACAAACTTTTTTGTTCTTATGATCACAACAAATTTATGAAGATGTCAACATAACAGATCACAACAACAGTTAATCAATTCAGTTATTTACTGATCACAGAAAAGTACTAATTATTTGTCATAGAAAAATTATATTTTGTCAGATTATCATATTGATTACATATATCTTGTGATCAGAGAAACAAAATATGTCTGTTCGCCATTATATATAATTATATGACTGTAGTCTTCCATCACCTTGAAACCTGTTTTGTTTTAGAAACAAGATTCAACAAGTTGAAAACAGCTTCAGGGCAGCACACACATATTAAAACACACACCTATTTTCTGTGTTAACTCACACACCTGCTGTGACAGTGACTCTCCACAAGTGTCCTGCACTGATGTACACCGACGCTCTGGAGGACATTCACTCGTACGATTGGCACGTTCAGGCTCCTGTGTCCTGACTTCTGTCTGTATGGTGACTGTTAGGCGTGCGTATGGCCTGTTCACAGTGTGTGTGTATGGCCTGTTCACAGTGTGTGTGTATGGCATGTGAGCCACCAGCATTACATTAGTTGCTTCTACCCAGAGAGACCAGTGTGTTGTTGCTCTTCGAAGATAAAAGTGAAATGATGCAGCAAGGGTGTAACGATACGTGTGTGATACTGAAGTCCTGCTGACGTGACTTTACTAACTTATTTTGTTTGTGTGTGTGTGTGTGTGTGTGTGTGTGTGTGTGTGTGTGTGTGTGTGTGTGTTTGCGTGCAGCTCTTCAAGACTCAAGAGACAGTGAAGCAGACTCTGAGCTCACTCTGACAGACACCGACACAGAGTCAGTATCTAGCCTTTATTTCTTCTTCATCCCTCTCTCTCCTCCTCTCCGTCTCCTTCTCTGTCTTGTGTCACCCTCTGCTGGTTAAATATGTGGTAACAGCTGATGATCTCTAGTGTGTTAACAAGGTGTTGTTCCACTTCTACAACATATCGCTTGAGATCTCCCATCAACGCCACAGCGTATGATTCATATACTCAACAAAACATTCAGTGTCCTGAACGTCCTCCTTCAACAAAGCTCTTATACCTTCACATGATTTCAGTTATTATTTAATAAAACAATAAATGACACATTCCTGTTTTCTGTTTGCTACAGAGAGCTTCCCTACTTTATTGACAGCTACAGTCTGGTTACTGACAGGCACTTTCTCTAAGGTCTTTAATTCTTCACAAGTAGCTTCACAGGTGAAGCAACCTGCAATCCAGTTTGTTCTTCGCCCCATTTACACACATGAGCGGGGCAAAATATTAGAAACACCTCTCACCTCCAGTACAACACTACGAGCCAGCACAACCTTCACTTTTCTGACAGTGTCAACATGAACTTAACATTTTAAAACTTTAAATCCTGTCTGAGCTGTCGTATTGGGTTGTACAGGTGTACCTAATAATATGGCCACTGATTCAGGCATGGTAGGTGTCCCTGAGAGCCACCTGAGAGAGATCAGTGAAACGTCCTTGATGAAAAATGTTTTTTTTTTTCGTTCCCATGGAGGTCTGTCAGAATGATTGACATTGGGATGAGGAAGAGGCGGAGTCAGGGAGGAGCCTCTCAACTAATCAGAGGAGGCCACAGGTAGGAGACCTGCTCCACCTCCAGCTCGTTAAAACAAACCACTGCAGAAACCTGAGGCTAACTCTGTGTGTGTGTGTGTGTGTGTGTGTGTGTGTGTGTGTGTGTGTGTGTGTGTGTGTGCGTGCGTGCGTGCGTGCGTGCGTGCGTGCGTGCGTGCGTGCGTGCGTGCGTGCGTGTGTGTGTGTTCACAGCAATCTCCCTGAAAGAGAGGAGGGGGAGGGAGAGGAAACTCCTGTCTTCAGTCACTGGGGACCCCCCCGCAGGTAACACAAACACATCATGTGTTCACTCTGATTCACAAGCTTCAGGAGTTGGGGTGGGGGGAAGCAGTAAGGATGGGAGCAGTCAAACAAAGCCTCCTAGTCCTCCCCCAGATTTGCTCAGTTTTTCCAGAGAAGCTGTCTTTTTACACTCAGGTGGTTTCAGACTCCCAAAGCTTCAGCGCCATTTTGAACCTTGGAACAAAATTCACAACTGAGTTTAGGGGAATTTTTTGGCCCTGTTCAGATCTGGTATCTGGCATTAACATCCGTCTCAGGTGATCCGATCACCAGTGGTCAGCTCTAAGTTCAGGTGTGAACGCACCCATGACGCATTGAGGATGTATTTGAGATCTGATCACACATTCAGAGGTGGTCTGGACCACATGTGTCCACATTCTTTTAGTAGTGTGAACCTGAACACATCCTGGCCACACTGAAGGACCGCCTACTCTACTGATGTCCTCCAAGGCTACGTCCACACCACTACATATTTTGTATTTTTGCAACTAATCAACTGCAGAGTAGACAATCTGCTTCCTGTTTGCACTGGCTCGCTCATGCTCAGTGTACGTGATTGCTCATGTGTTTTCAATGTGTTTTCTGGTGTTGTAGTCTGAACAGAGATCCATTAGTGGTTACATGTGCCTTTGTGAGCAGACCATGTAGGGTGTATAGGGGCAGTAAACGTCTTTCTGCCCCAAAGGGTGGAGGTGTGGGCTGAGGAGGATCAGTCTCTGGGCCTGAGCATCGTGGGAGGTCGTCATGTCATCAAGCGTCTGAGGAACGGAGAGGAACTGAAGGGAATCTTCATCAAGCAGGTTTTACCACACAGTCCTGCTGCCAAGACCCAGTGCCTGAAGACCGGAGACAAGATTCTGGAGGTGGGGCTGGGACTAATACCTGGATCTCTAGATATAGTTCATCTTACAGCTACAAAACATGCAAATGTCTTTCAGTTTTATGGCTGTGATTGGTGCTGTGGTGTTCCCTGTTCCAGGCGACAAGTAGAAGCACAGATCTAGATTCTGTGTTTTTAGGTGCAGAAACTCCTTTTTACCCAGAACATCTTTTTTCATCATCGTTTTTTATATTGAACAAAGGCAGCAGCTCAGCTAGACAACTGCAGCGAGTTTGAAAATGACTCAGCAAAACAACATCCACAGCCATATTGTCTTAGTTTTCACACATGGGACTGAAACAGTGGATTTTAAAACATAAAAAACAGCAGGTGACCTCTGCTCACCACCTAAGACAGGACATGAGGTATTTGCCTGTATGTCTTGACATTGTCTGGTGTGGGTGTTTGTGTGTTTGTTCGTGCAGGTGTCAGGTGTCGACCTGCGAGCTGCCAGTCATGAGGAGGCAGTCGGTGCCATTAAATCAGCTCCGAGCCCCGTCGTCTTCATCGTACAGAGTCTGTCTGCTACACCTCGGGTACTAACACTCAGTCTGAACACAGACATGAAACACACGTTAATATGATTCAGTGTCACCTCCACTTCCTGAGCATATCATCATCTGTGTCTCAATTCTCATATCTCCACACTCACACTTGCTGTTTGGAGTGTGTGTGTGTTCACATTGACAAGTACAGCAACGTGCAGTGCACTATGAGCGCCTGGATGATGCATTCATTCATTAAAAACAAATATATGTTTTTACTGATTTTTCAAAAAACCTTGTGATTGCATTGAAGCAACAGACATTAACAAGAGTAGAAATGAAAATCAAGTGAATGAAACGAGACGGAACATCTCGGCTCACAGACTCATTCCAGGTGAGAGAGTCAGGATTCACACAAAAGTAAAGATAACACAGCTCATAGACAGGTGTCACTCATATCTCCACTACACCAACACTCAGGTGAAAATAGCAGAGATATCTAAACCAATATATGACATAAGAGTCTCCAATATTCTGCAAAATACATTGTCTTTGCAATATAACATGCATGTCAAATAATTCAAAGATACATATTCAAGTACTTTATTTGTTATCCAGTTCAACAGAATGCATATTCTTGCACAAAATGTTGCATTCTGTAGACCTTCCTTTTATATCTATCAGCAATAGAGGTGTTTGATATCCCAGGTAAGCACAGTGGGTCGCACTCTGTAGTATTAGACAGGATTTTATTAATTTCACTCCATATAGTCTGCCAAAATTGCTGTTCTTTCCTGTAAGACCACAGGCAGTGACTGAGACTGCCTGTCTCTATTTTGCATTCGGGACATTAAACTTTTGGCGTTTGGAGGGGGACATGTGCCTCCATTAATTTTTACATCAAATGAGCAAAGAGGCTGGTGGTTATTTTGGCGGGAAACTGTACAGGTCACATGTTGCGTCAGTGTTTGATTTGAGACATCACTCCAATCTGAGACACAGTGGTTATCTCTGATGTCCCTCCAAAATAAAGCTCCAGAAATCCACTTATAAAACCAGAGAAACAGAGTCTGCAGAACTTCCTTCTGTTTTTAAGTTCCCTTCAGTATCACAGTGATCCAGTGACAGTTGTCTGAACATCATGGTACACTGCAGACAGCAGCTGATGGAGCTGCTGTTAATGAGACAGTCTGACTACATAGAAACAGATACAGGCTGAAAAATGGTGCTGATCTGTAGCTACATTACAACAGACTTTTACAGGGTCATTCTCTCCTGACTTAGATTTGGTTTTTACTATCACGTTCCAAAACAGGCCTGTATGTCTCTGTTATCATGTTTCCATCAGATCAGAACGTTTTGACTTTTGACATTTTCACACAAAAGTCAAATTTCACACTGAGCAGAGGGAAAAAACACTGTGGCTGTAGTCATTACTGACAATGACTCACATTCACTGTGGATGTGATCAGAATCTCTGACCAGCTGAACAGAGTGTAACACATACCGATTACACAGTACAAGCCCATAATGTAAATGTAGTACATACTTAAGTCTGTCTGTCTGTGTGTGTGTATGTGTGTGTGTGTGTGTGTGTGTGTGTGTGTGTGTGTGTGTCTGTCTCAGCCTGTGTCTGTAACAGCTCCCAGCTACAGCAGACACAAAGCAAAGAGGACAACGTCTCCGGTAAGAACAGAGACCTAGTATTTTATCACATGAACGAGGTGGAGAGACACCGATTATTTATTCTACTGTTATAGATGTAAACCTTCACGACTCTGGAAAGATAAATATAGCATCTCTCTCATCCTCTTTTATTTTGAAGTCTAGTCTCAGTGACATCGGACTGTGAGTCCTGTAGAGTCCAGCAGAGGGCAGCACAACCTCAGCAGAGTGCTCACCACTGTCGCCTCAGTGCAGACTGTGACCAAGGTTTTTTGGTTTGTTTGTTTCCTTCTCTGCAGAAAACAGGAGTAACAACACCCCCACTGAGACAGCCCCCACCCTACAGACCCCCCAGCCAGACAGGGCCTGAGCTGAACTCTGACCTGGAGCAGGCCAAAGGTCAGTAACGCACACACTGGTACACGTACAGCTGTACTGTGGCTCTGCAGCAGCTTCACCCTCTGATTCTGTCTTCAGGCTGCGTCCACAGACAGACAGCAGCAGTGAAAACAAACTAAAAGCATGAGGCTGAAACTATCCACCCGCCAGTCAAACAGACACAGAAGAAAAAACAATACAACACTCCTGCAGCCACATGACTTCTCTGCTCTGTTTGAGTCTTGTGTTTATTAAAGATGCAGGTGCTGACAGAACATAGATCTCATAGATTTTTGGTCTCAGGACAGTAGTTTCAGTTTTCAGCCTGAACCAGATCAGGTTTCTATGAAAGGTCAACATTTGAATCTTAAGGACGTAGTTGACAACTGTTGTGGAACCACAGCAAACTACTTCCAGTGGAAAGTAGCTAAAGCTGCGGGAAGTGGCTAAATGTTGCTATATGATGTAATACCATAATTAGCATATTCATGATGTCATTGTGTGGTTTTATCATCCAGCTTAACATGTTAACCAGCAGAGAGATCATCACCTGTTCAACTGGGTGAGCAGGCAACTTTATTTGTATAGCACAAATGACACAGAGGCAGTTCAGAGTGATTCACAAAAGCAAAAAAAGTGTTAGAACATAGTAAGAAATAAAAATGAATAAAATGAGACATAAAAAGCAGATAAAAGGAAATAAAATGCAAGTAGACAAAGATAATAGTGGACCAGAAGTACAGTTTAAATGCTGCTATACATTGTAAGTTGCCCCAAATACAACAAAGGGAGCAAAAGTGCAACAGAGAAAAGTGCCTTGAATTAATGTATGTTATTATTTGGTGCTATACAAATAAAATGGAATAGAATAAATAATTGAATTGAGTAGAGAAACTAATCAATCTAAAGCACAGGAAACAGGTGGAAGAGGAAAGATAGTGATCTGAATATTCAGTAAGAGTTTAGTGCTGCTGTCTTATAACTGAGGATCTCTGGTTCACCTACATGCTGCTTCATTGTTGTTGACTCTGTCAGTGGAAGAGCTTCTCCTCTTTATCTTCATGTGATTCTTCTGACTCCAAATAAACTGAAAGTGTGTGTGTGTGTTTGTGTGTGTGTGTGTGTGTGTGTGGGTGTGTGTGTGTGTGTGTGTGTGTTGGTTCAGAGCGGGTGTGTGTGTGTGTGTGTGTGTGTTGGTTCAGAGCGGGTGTGTGTGTGTGTGTGTGTGTGTTGGTTCAGAGCGGGTGTGTGTGTGTGTGTGTGTGTGTTGGTTCAGAGTTGACTAATGCAGATTCAGACAGACTGAACGTGACCATCTGCCATATTGGAAGAGAGAGAGAGAGAGAGGTTTGTTTGTTGGCTAGTAAACACACACAAGCTGTTTTCTTGTGTGTTCTTGTGTGTGTGTGTGTGTGTGTGTGTGTGTGTGTGTGTGTGTGTGTGTGTGTGTGTGTGTGTGTGTGTGTTCTGCCAAATAGCAGTGACTGTAATCAGTGTCAGCATTTCAGCTCTGTCCTATCTCACTCACTCTTTGGCTGCGTTTACACCATAAAACCTGAAAACTTCAGCTCTGAAGTGAGATAATCAGAAAATGATCCAAATCATTTTAATATTAGTTTTAAATCTGTCTTTTCTAGTACATCTACTGGTTCATTTGGTAACATTATTTTACAGGTCCTGTATTTTCCAGCTAATTTCTTCAAAACTTTCTTTGTAATTTTCCCTAAAAATAAGCTCTAAATTCTGTAAAATACTGAAAACACTTTAATCCTTTCATGTGAAAAATGAGAAAATGTGAGAGGATTGAAGCTGCAGTGTTTTAAACCACGTCTCTGTCTCTCCCTCATTTTCTTTCCCTCATTTGTATGAGCAGGTTGTGTCTGTTTAATTCAAATCACTTGATCAATTTGAGTGTTAAACAGCCATGACAGCAGCTTCCTGTGAGCGTGAGCGTGTGCGTGCGTGCGTGTGTGTGTGCGTGCGTGTGTGTGTGTGTGTGTGTGTGCGTGTGTGTGTGTGTGCGCGTGTGTGTTTTAACTAAATCTTAAAGCTCTCTTACAGATGACTTGGTCCAAAGAAAGTCAGTCTAGTACTGGTGTTGTCATAAACCATGTTTAGAGGTTTCGGTCATGTAGAGGCAGTCACGATGTCACAGGACAGGGGTTAGCTTTAGCATCAGCTCTGGTTTTAATAATAATAACTAAGAAGCTACAGCTCAGTAGCCTTTAAGTACTTCAGAGTGTCTCAGTTTATCTCAGAGTTTCTCAAAGTATCTCTCAGTATCTCAGTGTAGCCTGTTGCATCTTAAGTGTCCACATTACCTCAGTTTATGTCAAACTATCTTGGAGTATGTCAGACCATCTCAGTTTATCTCAAGGTTTGTCAGTTTATCTCAGTATCTTATTGCATCTCATTGTATCTACAAGCGTCTCAGTTTTATTTCAGAGTATCTCAGTTTTTATTCCTCTGCGCCAGCGACAGTCAGAGCCGCCATATTGTTTTCAGGTTGTCCGAATTTCTTCAAATTTGGCACAAATGTCCACTTGGCTCAAGGATGAACTGATTAGATTTTGAGGATCAAAAATCAAAGGTCAAGGGCGTGGTGACCTCTCAAATCACAATTTTGGCCTTGTGAATGTTATATCTCCGTAAAACCTTTAGGGAACTTTGGTACAAACGTTGACTGGGACTCGAGCATGAATTGATCCAATTTTGGTCTTCAAAGGTCAAGGTCACAATGACTTCAGAACACTTTTTAGCCATTACTCAAGACTTCACAGCAATTATGACAAACTTTCACAAGAATGGTTCATATTTCATATGATTCTAGATAAACAGGGATGTAACCTGAAACTAGTCTGAGTGGAGGAGGCACACAACCACGAGGCGGTGATTCTCATTGTCAGAATGTTGGTGTATCTCAGTTATGTATTTCAGTATCTTCTTTTTTTTTTGTTTGTTTTGTTATTACATCTGTTAGTAGTTTATTTCAGATTATGGTCGTTTATGTTGAAGTATCTCATTGCATCTCATTGTATCTGCAAGTATCTCTGTTTATTTCAGTTTTATCTCAGGGCATCTCAGTATCTAAGTACATCTCTTCATATCTGTGTTCGTATCAGAGTATCTCAGAGTATTTCTATTCATCTTTGATTATCTAAGTTTTTCCCAAAGTATCTCAGAATATCTCAGTATTTTGTTGCATCTCAGTGTATCTACAAGTATCTTAGTTTATTTTAAGAGTATGTCAGTTTATCCCATAGTATCTCACTGTATCTATCTATCTCTGTTTGTCTCAGGGTATCTCAGTTTATGTCCATGTATCTGAGAGTGCCTCAGTGTGTCTCAGAGTGTTTCATATATCTCAGCTTATCTTGATGTATGTGTGTGTGTTGCTGTTGTGCTCTAAGCTAGCAGACAGGCTGGTGCAGGCCAGTGTTAATGTGTGTGTTTCTGTCTTTGCAGGCCTTGTTTGAACCAGCAGTCCCTCCGTCCTGTCCATAGGCCTGTTACAGCACAGAGTGGAGGATTACTTTTTATCATTCTTTTTTATTCCTTTCGCTTCTCTTTGGTCCGTCTGTCTCTGGGTTTTGGGCTTTTCTTTCTGCCTCTGCCTCCCTCTGGTCTGGGTGCGTTTGGTTTGGTATGTTTGAAGCAGGCGAATGGGGCGGTGAGGGATCCCTTTTGTTTTTCCAGGCTGCTGGTTGGAGATTTTAGCTGTTTATTTGCTTCTGGTCTTACTGGGATCTGGTGTTTTAGAGGTGGGATCTGAGCCGCTCTCTCCTGGTCGGGTCGTTTTTATCTGAGATATTTTGTTCCTCTGAGCTGGATTTGTTTTACATCTGTTTTAACATCTGTCCTGTTAAAGCTGAACCCTAACAAATTATTGGATGTAATGTGGATGTAGTTTTGAGGTGTTCTGATAGTACTCAGCTGTGCCAATTAATAATGAACTGATTTATTTATTTTTCATCTATTTTTTATCTTTATTTTAATTTCATCTTCTTTTCTTTGGAGGCTATAAAACAGAATCACATTTATAACAAGTAAAACACTATTTAGATGCAGAGTTTATGTGGAATAATATAACTTGGGAATCTTTTGGTGATTTAGGAATTTCTCCTTCATGTCTGTTCTTCATGCAGCAAAAGGAAAGTCTGCATTTAAGTCATTTTACTCATTTTACTGTCCAAATCCTAATTATTAACATTAATAAAAAACATATTATGTATCTACACTGAGCAGGTGAACCAGATTAGATCTTAATTGTATGTGAAGAGTATGTGAAGTCATTTCCACTGCAGAAAAAGGTTGACAAAGAAACATGACAAAAAAACCCAAATCACTGGGATATTGATTCACACAGTTCCACACTGTTAGGAAAGAAATGTGTTTGGTAATTTTATGGTAGAATTTTTACATCATATGATTCATATAATGACCTGTGACATCCATTAGACAGTCAGACTAATGGTTAAACTGTTTAAACTGGTTAAACCTGAATAAAACTTTCAGTTTAAATGAATAAATGTTGTGATCCATTCAGTCACAGCTGCAGCTGAAGTTTTTTTTCATTTGTTGTTTTAAACTGTTTGTAGAATCTGACTGTTCATTATAGATAAAGACACTATAAACGTGTCAGAATAAATATCATCACTTGTTTTTACTGAATAAAACTTCCTGTTAAAACCAACATAAACCAAAGTCTCCGGCAGATTCATTTTAGATGAACATTATACATCAGAACCCAGTCTGTGGTCTGGACCTGGGACGACTGGAGCCTGAACTCAGTGAACAGAGTAAAATCAGCCTCTTAGTCTTTAACAAATTGATTCTGTGTGTTCAGACTTTAACACTGATCATTTCACTGAGTCACAGCTGATTTAACACCAAACATAACATCATGTTTGGCATCGTTAGGGGTGGGGGGGGCATCTGTCCGGAGGCTTGAGCCAAAAGCACATTTTCATGGCTCATTGTTGTGTTTTCTGTCTGAGTGAGTCGATGGAAGAGAACAAACA